AGAGGACCACTATGACCACCACCACCACGACCAGCACCACCACGCCCACGGCCAGCACCACCACGGCGACCAGCACCACCACGGCGACCAGCACCACCACGACCAGCACCACCACGACCAGGAGGACCACCACGGCGACCAGCACCACCACGGCGACCAGCATCACCACGGCGACCAGCACCACTGCGACCAGCACCACCACGACCAGGAGGGCTACCACGACCAGCACCACCACGGCGACCAGCACCACCACGACCAGCACCACCACGGCGACCAGCACCACGACTACGCACCACCACAGCGACCAGCACCACCACCAGCACCACCACGACCAGGAGAACCACCACGACCAGCACCACGACCAGCACCACCACGGCGACCACCACCACGACCAGCGCGACCACGGCCAGGAGGACCACCACGACCACCACGACCGGCACCACCACGACCACGGCCAGCACGACCACGGCCAGCACGACCAGCACCACCACCACCACGACCAGCACGACCACGGCCAGAGGACCACCACCACTACCACCACGACCAGCACCACCACGCCCACGGTCAGCACCACCACAGCGACCAGCACCACCACGACCAGCCCCACGACCAGGAGGACCACCACGACCAGCACCACCACGGCGACCAGCACCACCACGGCGACCAGCACCACTACGACCAGCACCACCACGGCGACCAGCACCACCACGACCAGCACCACTACGACCAGCACCACCACGACCAGGAGGACCACCACGACCAGCACCACCACGGCGACCAGCACCACCACGGCGACCAGCACCACGACGACCCGCACCACCACGGCGACCAGCACCACCACGACCAGGAGGACCACCACGACCAGCACTACCACGGCGACCAGCACCACCACGGCGACCAGCACCACCACAGCGACCAGCTCCACCACGACCAGCACCACCACGACCAGGAGGACCACCACGACCAGCACCACTACGGCGACCAGCACCACCACGGCGACCAGCACCACTACGACCAGCACCACCACGGCGACCAGCACCACCAGGACCAGGGGCAGCACGGCGACTAGCAGCACCACGACAGCAGCCAGCAGCACAGAGGAGGAGGAGGAGGAAGAGGAGGAGGAGGAGGAGGAGGCGGCGGAGGCGGCGGCGGAGGCGGCGGAGGAGACGCTGGCGCTGGCCCGAGGCAGCGCGGCGGCGCGAAGGGCGAACGCACCGCCGCGAGGCGCAGCGCCGCCGCAGGTTCGTTCACGGGCAGCGGGGGGAGGACTCAGCCCTCCTAAGCCACAACCCTCTGCCCAGCGACCTGCGGCGGCGGGCGCGGCGACCAGCGGCGGCAGGCCCAGGGCGCCCCGGGCCGGGCGCCGCGGCACAAAGAGCAGGCTAGCGGCGGCGGCTGGCGGCGGCTGGCCGAAGGCGCCCCGGGCGCTCCTAGGGCGCCGAGGGGCTTGGGGCAGCTGAGCGGGAGGCCCCCGGCGGGGCGGCTAGCTGGCGGGAGGTTCGGCGTTGCCCTGGCTTCGGCCGAAAACCCCCCGCTCCTTCGGGGAACGCCCCCGCCCCACACTCACCGTGGGCGCGCGGGGGGTCCGCACTGGCCGCAAGGGGACGCGGCAGCCTTGGGGTAAGGAAGGGGGAGAAAGAAAAAAAAAAAAAAAAAAAAAAAAAAACGACGGCGACCAGCACCACCACAACCACGACGGCGACCAGGGGCAGCACGGCGACCAGCAGCACCACGACAACAACTACCACTACAGCGACAACAAGCAGCAGCAGCAGCAGCAGAAGCAGCAGCAGCAGCAGCAGCACCCACCACCACCACCACCACCACCACCACCACAACCACTACGACTACCACCAGCAGCGCCACCACAACTTGCACGGCGACCAGCACCACCACCACGACGGCGACCAGGGGCAGCATGGCGACCAACAGAAACACGACAACTACTACCACAACTGCGACAACAAGCAACAGCAGCAGCAGCAGCACCACCACCACCACCACCACCACCACGACGGCGACAAGGGGCAGCACGGCGACCAGCAGAACCACGACAACTACTACCACAACTGCGACAACACGCAGCAGCAGCAGCAGCAGCAGCGGCAGCAGCAGAACGACCACCACAACTACCACGACTACGACCAGCAGCGCCACACCCGCCAGCACGGCGACCAGCACCACCATCACCACCACCACCACCACCACCACCACCACCACGGCGACCAGGAGCAGCACGGCGACCAGCAGCACCACGACAACCAATACAACTACAGCGACAACAACAAGCAGCAGCAGCAGCACCACCACCACCACCACCACAACCACTACGACTACGACCAGCAACGCCCCCACCACCAGCACGGCGACCAGCACCACCACCACCACGACGCCGACCAGGGGCAGCACGGCGACCAGCAGCACCACGACGGCCACTACAACTACAGCGACAACAACAAGCAGGACCACCAGCAGCAGCAACACCACCACCACCACCACCACAACCATTACGACTACGACCAGCAATGCCACCACCACCAGCACGGCGACCAGCACCACCACCACCACCACGACGGCGACCAGCAGAACCACGACAACTACTACCACAACTGCGACAACAAGCAGCAGCAGCGGCAGCAGCAGAGCGACCACCACCACCACCACTACGACTACGACCAGCAGCGCCACCACCACCAGCACGGCGACCAGCACCACCACCACCACCACGACGGCGACCAGGGGCAGCAAAACTGCGACAAGCAGCAGCAGCCGCAGCACCACCACCACCACGCCTACAAACAGCAGAGCCACCACCACCAGCACGGCGACCAGCAACACCACCACCAGCACGGCGACCAGCAGCAGCAGAGCGACCAGCCGAACCACGACAATTACTACCACAACTGCGACAACAAGCAGCAGCAGCGGCAACAGCAGAACCACCACAGCAACCACTACGACTACGACCAGCAGCGCAGCGACAACAAGCAGCAGCAGCAGCAGCAGCAGCACCACCACCACCACCACCACCACCACCACCACAACCACCACAACCACTACGACTACGACCAGCAGCGCCACCAGCACCAGCACGGCGACCAGCACCACCACCACGACGGCGACCAGGAGCAGCACGGCGACCAGCAGAACCACGACAACTTCTACCACTACAGCGACAACAAGCAGCAGCAGCAGCAGCAGCAGCAGCAGCAGCAGCAGCAGCAGCAGCAGAAGAAGCAGCAGCAGCAGCAGCAGCAGCAGCAGCAGCAGCAGAACCACCACCACAACCACTACGACTACGACCAGCAGCGCCACACTCACCAGCACGGCGACCAGCAGCAGCAGCAGCAGCAGCAGCACCACCACCACCACCACCACCACCACCACAACTACGGCGACCAGGAGCAACACGGCGACCAGCAGCACCACGACAACCGCTACAACTACAGCGACAACAGCAAGCAGCAGCAGCAGCAGCAGCAGCAGCAGCAGCAGCAGCAGCAGCAGCAGCAGCAGCAACAGCAGCAGCAGCACCACCACCACCACAACCACTACGACTACGCTCAGCAACGCCCCCACCACCAGCACGGCGACCAGCACCACCACCACCACCACCACGGCGACCAGGGGCAGCACGGCGACCAGCAGCACCACGACAACCACTACAACTACTGCGCCAACAACAAGCAGCAGCAGCAGCACCACCACCACCACCATAACCACTACGACTACGACCAGCAACGCTCCCACCACCAGCACGGCGACCAGAGCCACCACCACCACCACCACCATGACGGCGACCAGGGGCAGCACGGCGACCAGCAGAACCACGACAACCACTACCACTACAGCGACAACAAGCAGCAGCACCCGCATCAGCAGCAGCAGCAGCAGCAGCAACAGCAGCAGCAGCAGCAACAGCAGCAGAACCACCACCACCACCACCACCACTACGACTACAACCGGCAGCGCCACCACCACCAGCACGGAGACCACTACCACCACCACAACGACGGCGACCAGGGGCAGCACAGCGACCAGCAGCACCACGACAACCACTACCACAACAGCGACAACAAGCAGCAGCAGCAGCAGCAGCAGCAGCAGCAGCAGCAGCAGCAGCAGCAGCAGCAGCAGCAGCAGCAGCAGAACCACCACCACAACCACTGCGACTACGACCAGCAGCGCTACACCCACCAACACGGCGACCAGCAGCAGCAGCACCACCACCACCACCACGGCGACCAGGAGCAGCACGGCGGGGCCCGCGCGGACGCCGGCGCGGCAGGGGGCGACGGCGGCCGGCGGCGGCTGGCGGCGGCGGGCCGGCGGCAGCGGCTGGGCCCGCGACGGAGGCCGCGGAGGCCGAGGAGGCGGAGGAGGAGGCGGGCGCTGGGGCGAGGAGGCGGAGGGCGGCAGCGCAGGGGCCCCGCTGCCCTTTGGCTAGGAGGGGCTCGGGGAGGCACGCCAGAGCGGGCCCCGAGTGAGGGTGGGGCTAGAACGCCCGCGACTCTCGGGGCGGCCGGGGGGGCCCCGCAGCGCAGCCGCGCCAGGAGCGAGACGAAACGCCGCGGCCGGCGGAGCCCCGCTGCGAGGAGGCGGAGGCGGAGGCGGCGGGCTGCGGCTGGCTGGGGCCCGCCAGGGGCCGGCCGAGGCGCGAGGGGGGCGACGCGCTGGCTGGCGGAGGCGGGGGGCGCCGAGGTGGGGCCGGGCTCAGCCGCCCGCCGGCCGGCGGGGCGGACGGGGGCGGCGGCGGCGGCGGGGGGCGGCGGGCCTGAGGCCTAGGCCGACGGCGGCGGGCGGCGGGCCACTGCAGGGGCCCGCGCGGCGGCCTCGGCTTGGCGTGAGCCCGCACAAGGGGGAAAAAAAAAGAAAAGGAAAAAAACAAAACAACAAAAAATGCAGCGTGCGTTTGCCTGGTTTAAAAGCCTCCAGCACAGCGATCACTTCCGTGTCCGAAACCGGAGGTGACGGAGCAGGCGCGCCCTCCAGGGCACCCGCTTTCCTGATCCTGGTAACCTGTCTCTCCATGGCCTCCGCGGCTTCCGGGTCCTGTTCAAAATCGTTCCTATCGCGCGCGAAAAGATCGCGTTGGACGGCCTCAACCATCTCCGAAGGTGGCATCGTGGCCCCCGTGGTCGGGTCTGCCAGCTTCACGTCAAAGCGTGTCCACACCTGGAAGAAACCCGAAAGGAACCGCTCCGCGTCACCAGAAGGGACGCGCAGGGAATAGTCTCTGAGCGACCGCTGACCGAGACAGTCGCCCTGGGCGTAGCTGGTGTGGCACTTTTGGTCCCTGAGCGCGGCCGCTATCCGAGACTGTCGCCCAGGGCATAGCAGGTGTGGCACGTCCTCGACACCACAAGGGGTGCGCAGGGGGTGGTCCCTCAGCGCTGCCGCTGTCCGAGACGGTCGCCCAGGGCATAGAACGCGTAGCACTCTCTCGACACCAGAAGGGGTGCGCAGGGGGTGGTCCCTGAGCGCGGCCGCTACCCGAGAGGAAGTGCGCAGGGGAGATACGGTCGCCCAGGTCGTAGCAGGCGTGGCCCTTTCTCGACACCACAGTAGGTGCCCAGGGTGTGGTCCTTGAGCGCGGTCGCCATCCGAGACTGTCGCCCAGGGTGACGCAGGCGTGGCACTTTCTCTACACCAGACGAGGGTGCGCAGGGGGTAGTCCCTGAGCGCAGCCGCTGTCCGAAACGGTCGTCCCGGGCAGAGCAGGCGCGGCACCTTCTCGACGCCATAGGGGGGGCGCAGGGGGTGGTCCCTGAGCGCGGACGCTCTCCGAGACGGTCGCCCAGGGCATAGCAGGCGTGGCTCTTTCTCGACACCACAGGGCGTGAGCAAGGGGTGGTCCCTGAGCGCGGCCGCTCTCCGAGACGGGCACCCAGGGCATAGCAGGCGTGGCACTGTCTCGACACCAGAAAGGGAGTGCGCGCCGCTGTCCGAGACGGTCGCCCAGGGCATAGAACGCGCGGCACTTTCTCGACACCACGGGGGTGCGCAGGGCGTGGTCCCTGGGCGCGGCCGCTATCCGAGACGGTCGCCCAGGGCATAACAGGCGTGGCACTTGCTCGACACCACAGGGGGTGCGCAGGGGGTGGTCCCTGAGCGCGGCCGCTGTCCGAGACGGTCGTCCAGGGCATAGCAGGCGTAGCACTCTCTCGAAACCACACAGGATACGCAGGGGGTGGTCCCTGAGCGCTCGTCCAGGGCATCGTAGGCGTAGCACTTTCTCGACACCAGACGGGGGCGCGCAGGGCGTGGTCCCTGAGCGCGGCCACTATCCGAGACGCCTCCCCAGGGCAGAGCAGGCGCGGCACTGTCTCGACACCAGAAAAGGAGTGCGCAGGGTACGGTCCCTGAACGCGGCCGCTATCCGAGACGGTCGCCCCGGGCATCGCAGGCGTGGCACTTTCTCGACACCAGGCAGGGTGTGCAGGGAGGGGGGTCCCTGAGCGCGGCCGCTATCCGAGACGGTCGCCCAGGGCATAGCAGGCGCGGCACTTTCTCTACACCATCGGAGGGGCGCAGGGGGTGGTCCCTGAGCGCGGACGCTCTGAGACGGTCGTCCAGGGCGTAGCACGCGTCGCACTTCCTCGACACCAGACGGGGTGCGCAGGTCGTCGTCCCTGAGCGCGGCCGCTCTCCGAGACGGTCGCCCAGGGCAAAGCAGGCGCGGCACTTTCTCGACACCTCAGGAAGTGCGCAGGGGGTGGAAACGGCCACTAACATTTTACCTAACAGCTTTCGCTGATAGGTTTCTAGTGGACTCAAAAGAGAGCAGCAGATGACTCCACAGGGGGGTCGGGGCGGCATCCGAGGAGCTGTGTCCGAACTCGTGTCCGAACTCGTTTTTCGCAAACAGTCACACACTTCGTGCTCTTCGACCTCCCAGAATTCAATTCCCGGGCCACATTCTGAATGCCCGGAACCAACTGTAAGCCACTTCGTGCTCTTCGACTTCCCAGAACTGAATTCCCGGGCCACATTTTGAATGCCCGGAGCCAACTGTAAGCCACTTCGTGCTCTTCGACTTCCCAGAACTCCATTCCCGAGCCACATTTTGGATGCCCGGAGCCAACTGTAAGCCACTTCGTGCTCTTCGACTTCCCAAAACTCCATTCCCGGGCCACACTTTGAATGCCCGGAGCCAACTGTAGGCCACTTCGTGGTCTTCGAGTTCCCAGAACTCCATTCCCGGGCATGATTTTGAATGCCCAGATCCAAATGTAGGCCACTTCGTGTTCTTCGAGTTCCCAGAACTACACTCCCGGGCCACATTTTGAATGCTGAGGCAGGCTGAGGCTGAGGCTGAGGCAGGCTGAGGCTGAGGCAGGCTGAGGCTGAGGCCGAGGCTGAAGGCAGACTGAGGCTGAGGCTGAAGCAGGCTGAGGCTGAGGCTGAGGCAGGCTGAAGCTGAGGCTGAGGCAGGCTGATGCTGAGGAAGGCTGAGGCTGAGGCTGAGGCTGATGCAGGCTGAGGCTGAGGCAGGCTGAGGCTGAGGCCAAGGCTGAAGGCAGACTGAGGCTTTGGCTGAAGCAGGCTGAGGCTGAGGCTGAGGCTGAGGCTGAGGCTGAGGCAGGCTGATGCTGAGGCAGGCTGAGGCTGAGGCTGAGGCTGATGCAGGCTGAGGCTGAGCAGGCTGAGGCTGAGGCCGAGGCCGACGGCAGATTGAGGCTGAGGCTGAAGCAGGCTGAGGCTGAGGCAGAGGCAGGCTGAGGCTGAGGCTGAGGCAGGCGGATGCTGAGGCAGGCTGAGGCTGAGGCTGAGGCTGATGCACTGAGGCTGAGGCTGAGCAGCTGAAGGCTGAGCAGGTTTGAGCTGAAGGCTGAGGCTGATGCAGGATGAGGCTGAGGCAGGCTGAGGCTGAGGCCAAGGCTGAAGGCAGACTGAGGCTTTGGCTGAAGCAGGCTGAGGCTGAGGCTGAGGCTGAGGCAGGCTGAGGCTGAGGCTGAGGCAGGCTGATGCTGAGGCAGGCTGAGGCTGAGGCTGAGGCAGGCTGAGGCTGATGCAGGCTGAGGCTGAGGCCGAGGCTGAAGGCAGACTGAGGCTGAGGCTGAAGCAGGCTGAGGCAGAGGCTGAGGCAGGCTGAGGCTGAGGCAGGCTGAGGCTGAGGCTGAGGCAGGCTGAGGCTGAGCTGAGCTGATGCAAGGCTGAGCTGAGGCAGGCTGAGGCCTGAGGCCGAGGCCCTGAAGGCAGACTGATGCAGAGGCTGAAGCACTGAGCTGAGCGAGGCAGGCTGACTGAGGCTGAGGCAGGCAGAGGCTGAGCAGGCTGAGCTGAGGCTGAGGCTGAGGCAGCCTGATGCAGAGGCAGGCTGAGGCTGAGGCTGAGGGCTGATGCAGGATGAGGCTGAGGCAGCTGAGCTAGCCCGAGGCCGACGGCAGACTGAGGCTGAGGCCTGGAGCAGCGGAGCTGTGTCAGAGGCAGGCTGAGGCTGAGGCTGAGGCAGGCTGATGCTGAGGCAGGCTGAGGCTGAGGCTGAGGCAGGCTGAGGCTGATGCAGGCTGAGGCTGAGGCCGAGGCTGAAGGCAGACTGAGGCTGAGGCTGAAGCAGGCTGAGGCAGAGGCTGAGGCAGGCTGAGGCTGAGGCAGGCTGAGGCTGAGGCTGAGGCAGGCTGAGGCTGAGGCTGTGACTGCGACTGCCGTTGCCACTGCGACTGTCATCGCGAATGCGACTACGACTGCGAGAACAGCAGAATTCTACAACTGGATTCTCATCCGAATCTTAAGGGGGATGCTTCCAGATATGCTCCTACACATCGCTGTTAGGTTGCTTTGCCGGGATATTTTTTTGTTGTTCCTCTCCTCTCCCAGTCCCAGCCCCAGTCCCTGGCCGAGTCCGCAGCGAAAGGGGCCGCTGCACCCGGCTCCCTCCGGCAGGCCCCCTGGCTGGGCTGCCGACGCCCGCGGTCGCCTTAGGCGGCCCGACGGGCCCGCCGGCCACCGCGCGGTCTTCGCGCCGCCAGCCGCCGCCGCCCGCCACGCGCCCGGCCGAGCCGCCCAGCGCGCCTCGGCCTCCGGAGGCTTCCGGCGGCGTCCGGAAGCCGCGGAAGCACCCGAGGCCCTGGCCCGGCCGGCTCCCCGCCGCGCCCGGGCAAGGCCGCCCGCGAAGGCCGCCAGAGCTGCCCCAGCCCGGCGGCCCGCGGCCGCAGCGCCCGCTGGCCCTGCCCGCCTGCCGTGCGAGCGCCTGCCCGCCCAACCACCAGCCCTGTAACCCACGACGTCGAGTCCCAGCTTCGCGTCCAGCATCGCGCTGAGCAGGACGAATGCCTGTTGCCACTGCCCCCTCTTCTCGCCCGCGCTGATCCCAGCATTGTAGCTGATGACACTTGGCGCCACCTTCGCCTCCCACATCTCGCTGAGCAGCGAGAGAGCCCGCTGCCACTGCTCGCCGTTCGTGCACGCGCTGATCCCAGAGCTGTAGCTGCTGCCACTGCTCGCCGTTCGTACACGCTCTGATCCCAGGGCTGATCCCAGAGTAGTAGCTGATGGCATCTGGCTCCGACCTCACTTCCCACATCTCGCAGAGCAGCAATAGAGCCCGATGCCACTGCTCGCCTTTCGTGCGCGCGCTGATCCCAGAGCTGTAGCTGATGACATTCGGCTCCGATCTCACTTCCCACATCCCGCTGAGCAGTGATAGAGCCCGCTGCCACTGCTCGTCTTTCGCGCACGCGCTGATCCCAGAGCTATAGCTGATGGCATCTGGCTCCACCTTCGCCTCCCACATCTCGCTGGGCAGTGAGAGAGCCCGCTGCCACTGCTGGCCTCTCGTGCATGCGCTGATCCCAGAGCTGTAGCTGATGACACTTGGCTCCACCTTCGCCTCCCGCATCTCGCTGAGCAGCGGGAGAGCCTGTTGCCACTGCTCGCCATTCGTACACGCGCTGGTCCCAGGGCTGATCCCAGAGTTGTAGCTGATGGCATCTGGCTCCACCTTCGCCTCCCACATCTCGCAGAGCAGCGAGAGGGCCCGCTGCCACTGCTCGCCTTTCGTGCGCGCGCTGATCCCAGAGCTGTAGCTGATGACATTCGGCTCCGATCTCACTTCCCACATCCCGCTGAGCAGTGATAGAGCCCGCTGCCACTGCTCGTCTTTCGCGCACGCGCTGATCCGAGAGCTATAGCTGATGGCATCTGGCTCCACCTTCGCCTCCCCCATCTCGCTG